CGTTGGTATGAACTCCTTGTGTCATCAACATCTTCTTTATTAAAAATTTTCGCCTGCGGCGCTTTCCCCATAAAAATCAATACTTCGATAAATAATGCAAATTTTTAACCAAAAATCGCGCGATTTTTTATTAAAAATTTTCGGCTGCGGCGCTTTTTTCATAAAAATCAATACTTCGATAAATAATGAAAATTTTTAATAAAAAATCGCGCGATTTTTTATTAAAAGTTTTCGTTTGCGTCGCTTTTTCCATAAAAATCAATACTTTGATAAATAATGAAAATTTTTAATAAAAAATCGCGCGATTTTTTGTTAAAAATTTTGGGCTGCGGCGCTTTTTCCATAAAAATCAATACTTCGATAAATAATGAAAATTTTTAATAAAAAATCCCACTTTTGCCACTCCATGACGCTTACTTTTAATTACAGCTAAAATAACTGTAAACCATAAAAGTAGCGCTGCCATGGTATAGCGAAATTTGCTATTATATTTTGGTTAGAATATCTTATTTAGGTGAAAGTAAAAAAAGAAGAAGAAGTGTATAGTGTAAACTGAGTATAATAGCGCAAATGAAATGTGAAATAAAGTGGCAATACCAGCGATTTGAGGTTATAATAATTTTGGCAGGCGCAAAGCTTGTTTACTCTGTTTTATTAACGAAATATATAAAATAAAAATGAATAAATGATTTGGTTTGCATAAAATAAGGGTGGGCTTTAGTAGTCAGCCGCACCTTGTGTTTTAAGAAAACCAGGTGGAATTAACAAATGAAACTTGGTCAGGATGTTAAGGGAGGTATCCTCTAAAACATGTATGACTAAAAAATATAAACAATATCATTGTTTATAAGTTATTTGTTGTTAAAATTTCCTAAGTCGTTCCACTTGGTTTCCTTAACAAAAAGTGCATTTGTCACATATTTTCATATATATAAATGTACATAACACTGTACTTAATACTTTACACACTTTTATTTTATTTTATCTTGTATATAAATCACTTTAATTCAACTTTTGTCGACTTGTAAATTACATTGAATGGCACCCATATTTACAATAACACATGGTTGCAAACTGACACATAACATGTGTTGCCATATTGTACAAAATAATACATACAAAGAAGGGAATGTTTAAAAAGGAATACAGGGGAAATCAACACAAAAGAAAATGAAAATTTACCGCTACTTTTATGCTGGGCGTGTATTATTATCAATGAGGGTTTCCGGTCACGAACCCCTGTGCAAAAATATTGCCTATGGCGTAGGCGGTGTTGGTCTGCCCGATTTGTTTGCTTTAAGTTCGGTCGAAGGCCGCTTATGCAGAAAGGTGTTCTCTGCAAAAGGTGTTCAGCTCCTTTTCTTCGCAAAGCAGAAAGGAGAATTCTTCTGCCTGAGGGTTATAATCCCTAAGTGTGGCTGAAGGCCGCCTACGCAGAAACGTGTTCTCTGCAAACGGTGTTCAGCTCCTTTTCCTCGCAAAACAGAAGGGATAATTCTACTGCCTGAGGGTTATAATCCCTAAGTGCGGCCGTAGGCCGCCTACGCAGAAAGGTGTTCTCTGCAAACGGTGTTCAGCTCCTTTTCTTCGCAAAACAGAAAGGATAATTCTACTAAGTGAAAATTCCGAATTAAAAATCCGCTTTTATTATTCCAAATTCCAGTCTGGTAGCATCAAGTTGTATGTTATTTTACTATCATATTCATCGTTTATATGAAAACTTTAACAATAAATTATATAAGAAATAATGGGCAACCCAGGTTTGCAACAGAAATATATGCCCGTTCCATTATTTCTTGAGGAAAGAGTGAGGCAACAGGCTGTGAAGTATCAAAAATGTCAAAATTCCTTGGGCGCACACCACGGTGCAGCGAACAAAGGTGGCGCCGTCAGGAGTACCGCTACCTTGGCTTTGCCGATTTTGACAGTTATAGTAACTTGTAAATAAACCATTGTTTACAAATCAGCGAAAGAGAAATTTGAATTATAAGTGAAAAATCAGTTTAAATCGTGTTAATTTGCAATTTGTGAGTGATTTTTGAGTTGAAGACTGCGTAAAAACTAATACAATGAAGTGCTGTGTGTTAAATTGCTGTTTTCTGCAGCAGCCTTAATTGCAAAGCAATGGAGTGCACTAAAACGTTTGCTGAAGCAGCCTCAATTGCAAAGCAATGGAGGGCACTACAATGTTCACTGTTCTCTAATAGATTAGGTGAAAAATGCAATATTTTCGCATTTAGCAAAATTAAAACACGTTTTTCGCAGTAAAGTGAACTGCTTTGGCTGTTTCAACTCGTTGTTCTTTTCGCTCTATTCTTTGTTTACTTGTGGTACACAAATGTCAACGCCCAGGACGGCGCAATCTTGTATTCTATCATTCTTGGGCGCACACACGAAATAATGGCAATTTTTTCTTGACCGTTTTCTTGAGAGCTGCATACAGGGCTATACGTGCAAATGTGAAGAGCGCTAGGAAAGAGAGTACGCTATCAATGAAAAAATAGTGGTGATAGTACTAAAACTACCGATAGTTATTTCAAGTTACCAGACTATCGACACTATCGATAGTATCGTTTATAGTTTGACAGTTCTAATAGAAACGGAATAAGTAGATTGATAATAAAGATATATTAGAAATTGTCGCATGCCCGGGGAATAAAAATTTGGTTGTTTAACAGTGAAACGTTGGCTTGTGGTTTACCATTTTGTTCATCATCTTTCGTATTGCATTGTTATCGGATTTTGAGCCAACTGTGAAATTTCAAGTCCGTAGGTCATCGGGAAGTTGGTTGATTGCAAGATTTGCTCCTAACTAACATACATACATACATTCAGAGCAAGTTAAATAAAAGCTTGTAATAATAATAAAAAAATAGTTAATATATTTATTTTAAATGCTTTAGGGTTGGCTTTCCAAAACGGAACCAATAGAGTTTTAAGCGAAAGTATATGGAATTTAGTCATGAAACTCGGTCAGGATGTTGGGGGAGGCTTTCTCTACATGAATATATCACACTCACAAAGTAGTTGCTAATGGTATTTAAGCAATTTGTAGTTAATAATCTTCACTACCACCCCCAAATTTTTGTATGTCATTCCACATCAATTGTATTTTGGTTGATACACAATATCTTCAATGTTCACGTGCGTATTTTATACTTTTAATATATATATATATTCATCAATTAATTAAGTAAAACGCGTTTATAAATCAATTCATTTTACCACTTTTCACAAACAAACAGAAATAACAATGGCCGACAGTAAGAGCAAATGTGTGCTGCCATACTTCTCGAAGCTATAAAATACAACTATAAACCATATAATTTTTGTTTTTGATTCAAAATTTTCGACTGCTGGGCTTTTTATTATAAAATCGAGACTTTGATAAATGGCTGAGATTTCCATTGCGGAACCAATTGCTATTCCGCGCAAAGTATACTGAATTTTTTTATGAAAGTCGGTGGGGATACTAATGGAGGTCTTCTTTAACTATATTTATCACTTTGACAATGTTGTTGCTAATAGTACTTAAGTTATTTGTTGTTAAAATATCCGGGTACTCTATGAATTTGTACAAAGATTTTGGGTTGCTGTGCCCAAATCCGTGAATCGAATCAAAAACCTGTAAAAAAAAAAATATCCACGAAATATCTCTGCAAAAGGTTTTCAGCCCCTCTTCTTGGGCAACAGAAAAAGGAGTAGTGAGGGTTATAATCGTTTTGGAAAGAATCCAAATATAAGGCACCACGTTCGAAAGGTATTTTAAACATCTTTCGTTTGATATACATATTTTGTGAATTTGTATAAGAAATTTAGTTATTTGCAAGAAACACTTGTACTTTTCGCACTTTCTTTTGATGCATTTCACGCATTTTTATATACAAGACATTTTTATAAAACACCCAGTAACCATAATAGATATCACTGGGACGGCAGCCCCAGGTTTACCACACAGAAAGGGAATTCTAGTTACCTCATCCTTACCCAAAGCTACAGTTGGTGCACACCAAAAGGAGAATTCTATTTGGTAAGGGTTAAAATCCTACGCAGAAAGGAATTCATAAAAATCAATACTTCGATAAATAACTAAAAGTTAACATTTTTATTACGAAATCTCTCGATTTTAGACGGAATCACTTTTTTTTATCAATACTTCGATATTTAATTAAAAAAAAAATAAATAAATTATAATGTCGGTTTTTATTGTTTCTCGTATTCAGTGGTTTTTTGGGCATTTTTTTTTGTGTGGCATCACGACATTTTAGTTCAATTGGTTTACAAAGCAAAAAGTGAGGTTGAAGTTGCCATTTTTTGCAACTTAAAATTAAATTTTCTAAAAAACTATAAGCCTCCGGAGGGGGCGGGGAGTGGGGGGCGGTGGGGGGCATTCCAGATTTACAATCACAAAAAGCCGCTCTAAACCCCCTCTTTTTTTTTAAGCCGGGATCCGTATTGGAAAATTTTTCCTGGAAATCTCAGCCCTATTTATTTTTACCAAAAGAAAATACGATTACAAGGATAAGGTTATTTTGTTCAGATTAAAATAAATAGTAGGGGGATTAGGGTGTTAGAGAACCCCTTTTGAGTAGGCGGCCTTTGGCCGCGCTTATGGATTATGTATAACCCTCGCTACGTACAATTCTCCTTTCTTTATTGCCAAATAAAAGTGGATGACCACCTTTTCCAGAGAACACCTTTCTGCGTAGGAGGCCTTCGGCCGCGCTTAGGGATTATAACCCTCACTACGTAGAATTCTCCTTTCTGTGTTGCCAAAGAAAAGGGGCTGAACACCTTTTGCAGAGAACACCTTTCTGCGTAGGCGGCCTTCGGGGAACAAGTTAAGAATCCGAAAAATGGAAAAGTTACAACCAATAAATTGAGTTCGATAGAGGTTTTTGAGACAAATATAACGGTATAATTTTTTTGAGGCAGGAACAACAACTAAGGTAGTTACGAAAGGTCAACGGGTAAATGTAGCGCTTTTTTCAAATCCATATATCTCGAAAACCATCGAACGGATCTAGAAATTTTGATGTCATTAAATAGGAAATTTGAGCGGCTTTAATTACATAGATAAATGTTACATATAACTTCTTAAGTTTTAACAAAAATGCAATTTATGTAAAAAAAAATACAAACAATTTTAAACAAACACATTTTTCTTTAAAAAGTGCCGTATTAATTACAGTGAAAAGTCTTATAAATAAATAGTGCACAACTCAACTATCGTTTGATATACAACTTGTTGTGTTTAATCCTCGCAAATCGGAGTATTTCAAAAAATAACCCTGGTCGGACCAATGCCAGCTACGCTATCCACAGTATTTTTGCGCAAAACCTTTTTTTGGATAGGCGGCCTTCGGCCGCGCTTACGGATTATAACCCTTACTAAGTAGTATTCTTCTTTCTGTTTCGCCGAAGGAGAGGCGCGCAACACATTTTTGCACAGAACACCTTGTGCGTTGGCGGCATTCAGCCGCACTTATGGATTATAACACTTACTAAGTGGAATTCTCTTTTCTGTGTTACCGATGAAGAGGGGCACAACACCATTTTGCACAGAACACCTTCAGCGTTGGCGGCCTTCGGCCGTGCTTAGGGATTATAACCCTTATTAAGCAGAATTCTCTTTTCTGTGTTGCCGAAGAATAGGGGCGCAACAACTTTTGCACAGAACACCTTCTGCGTTGGGATTATAACCCTCACTAAGCAGAATTCTCCTTTCTGTGTTGCCGAAGAAGAGGGGCGCAACACCCTTTGCACAGAACACCTTCTGCGTTGGCGGCCTTCGGCCACGCTTAGGGATTATAACCCTTACTAAGCGGAATTCTCTTTTGTGTGTTGCCGAAGAAGAGGGGTGCAACACTTTTTGCACAGAACACCTTCTGCGTTGGCGGTCTTCGGCCGCGCTGAGGGACTATAACCCTCACTAAGTAGATTTCTCCTTTCTGTGTTGCCGAAAAAGAGGGGCGCAACACCTTTTGCACAGAACACCTTTTGCGTTGGCGGCCTTCGGTCGCGCTTAGGGATTAGAACCCTTACTAAGGATTATAACCCTTAGATAGATAGATAAATTATGAGGTATGCACTGCGACCTGATGGTCTACTGTGCCCTCCACTCTTCACAATACTTCCTCCAAGCAAAGATCCCCCAGGAAGTCCAAAAGCTTCTTTGGGGATAAGGACTGTATGTGCTCTAACTGTGGCCACATGGAGCCCAGACTCCTCTCACGTCTTCTGCCGACTGCATCACACTCGATGAGGATGTGGAGTGGCGTTTCACTGGAGACGTCGCAGAACCGGCAAAGGGCATTTGATCGTAACCCCAGTTTATACATATGCCCTCCGAGCCTGCTGTGCCCTGTAAGAAAACCTGTTAATATCCTCAGCCTCTCTTTTGGGAGGCCAATTAGACTTTTGAATCTACTCTTGTTGTACCCTCCTAGCAGGCTTTTTGCCTGTCGCATACCTACCGAACTCTGCCAGTTCGAGTCCCTCACATTGTCCCTCTCCTCCCTGAGCTTTTCCTTAATAGTGTTGGGACCCACTCACAGGAAGGGCTCAGGGCCAATTGGTGTAATGGCTGCCGCCTCTCTAGCGAGGCAGTCCGCCGCTTCATTCCCCTCTATTCCCATATGGCCAGGCACCCACGCCCGTTTGACGTTGTTGTGCCTACCAAGGGAGTTGAGTCTCTCTATGCACCCAAGGACTAGAGACGATTTGATTTCGAAGGATAACAGAGCCTTGAGTGCCGCCTGACTGTCACTAAGAATTACAATCCTCTCATTACGGTATCCTCTATTAATGATGGTCTTCGCACACAAGTAGATGGCGTAGACTTCAGCCTGGAAAATGCTCGGATACTTCCCCATCGGGATAGAGATCCTGGACCTAGGTCCGAAGATTCCAGCCCCTATTCCTTCCGGGGTCTTCGAGCCATCTGTGTACCATTGCAGTGTACTATCCTGTAGGAGTCTCAAAGGAGGAGGCACTCCAGGTTGCCTAACTGCTTATCTCAATTTTAAACCTCTTTTCAAACCTTATGGTTCTACATATGTCATCCCTCGGAAGCATGGCTAGCGGGAGCGAGGACCCTAGCTTCGCCATGTTCCTAGAGGAAACGACCTTACCTCTTCCATACCCTCTAGTGACATTGAGCAGAGTTCTTTTGGCAGCCAGTTCTATAGTTATGTACAGGGTCTCGAGTTCAAGGACCACTTCCAGCTCTGTCGTCGGAAATGTGCGCATCGCTCCCGTTATGCACACACATGCCAGTCGTTGTAGCTTGGTGAGCGATTGTCAGAGCGTAGCCAAAGTGGTTCTTGAAACCCAGGCCACTGCCCCATATGTCACTATTGGCTGTACTATCATGGTGTAAAGCCATCTCAGGATCCTGGGGCTGCAACCCTTGGATTTTCTCGACAGACGCTTACACACCATTAATGCTTTCGTAGCCTTGGATGTGGTCTCATCCACGTGTTTCTTCCATAGAAGTTTGGTAACCAGGATTAGTCCTAGGTACTTCACTTCGCTGGCGACATTGGCCACGACCCCACCCAAGGTAATGTCCCTCATGCCCGGCAGGGCCCTCTTCCTAGTGAATGGAACGATGGCGGTTTTGGCTGGGTTTATACTCAGCCCTAACTTGGCACACCATTCCCTTGTTAATCTTAGGCCTCTTTAAACGATGTCGCAGAGGGTGCTCTCAAACTTCCCTCTCGCAATGATTACTATATCGTCCGCGTAGCCTTGGCAGCGGATACCATTGTCAGAGAGAAGCTGAAGGAGTTCATCCACTACTAGGCTCCATAGAAGGGGGGATAGTGTAGGCTGATGGGCCGACGCGCTCCCTGTCTCCGTTGGAGCAGGGGGATTGCCATCTACCTTGGTGTCTTTTTCGCCCCCTTCTTTCTCGTCCGCTGTCTTCTGTCACCAGGGCCGCGTTGTTACAAAGCCGAATATGTAATTCAGCTTGTATCCGGCCCTTCTGACACTGCAGTACGAATCTTCGTCGACGCCTACATTAAGACGTAGACCGTTGTCCTCTATGGCGCTCGAAATGACGCGCCACGCAGGGGTGTTGGGCCCTGCGTTTTGTGCCCTCAGCAGCCCAAACGCATAATCTGACGATTTGTCAGCACTCCTCGGCAGGAAGATGGACATATTGTGCATCGGTGGGATGTCAACGCCACGTTTGACGCACAACATGGCCCCCCTCCAGCTTCCTAGTTTCTGTGCAGCCTCTTCCAGCCATTTTGCCGTGCCCTCGTCTTTGCAGTCCACTAGCAACATGCCGGGACGGAAGTATACTCCGCAGAACGCCAGCGGGTGCGACCACCCCTTGAAAACCTCATCCATAATGGCGTCCTGTAGGGTAGTCAACTCCTCCGGACTCAGCGCCTCCGCAGGGTAGTCTCTAGGCGGTACTGCCACCCTGATGCCCCTAAGAGCATCCGAGTAACTAGGCGTCTGCCCTCCCCCGCCCCGCGAGGACGTTGGTTCCCAGTGCCTTCCCCCGGGTCCCGATGCCTGAGGTGGTAGCTGCTCCCGTTGCTTCTTCGGATCGGGAGTCTGGGGTGTTAAATGCCCGCTCTTCCGCTTTGCAGCGGGTGCGGTCTCGTCAGACCCCCTTTCCCT